TTTTAAAATTTTAAAGCATAGACTACCTCTCCTGAGAATTTATCAGTGACTCCCCATTCTGAAATTTCTTTAATTATTTTAAAAAGGTAATTAATTATTTATTTGGCACAGGGTCTCACTATGTAGCTCGGACTCATAGTGATCCTCCTGGCTCAGCCTCCGCAGCCTGGGATTATAGGCATGTGCCACCATGCCTGGTTTCGGTGGCTGGCTCAGAGCATCCAGGGAGGGTTAAAATTAAAATATTGTTTTTCTTTATGTTTTCCACTTTTATATATTTATTTTTGTGTGGTACTGGGGATTGAACTCAGGACCTTGCACTTGCTAGGCAGGCACTTATTCTACTGAGCTATCTCCCCAGCCCATATTTTTAAATTTTGTGTTGCTTGGGATCAAACCCAGAGCCTCAGGCATGCAAGGCACAAGTGCTATACCACTGAGCTGTATCCTCTAAAGACCAAAATGCTGTTTTATAAGTATTGTGCATCACAACGTGATGGTTTATTACTTATATTTGGTAATTTACTTTAAATATGTTAACATTTTGGGGGCTGATGTGTAATGAATTTTACTTTTTCCATATTAAAGCAGGCTCTCGTTTGCTATTTTCTTGTGGCCTATCAAGCTTTTAGGAATGAATGTTTGAGGTTAAGTGAGATAAACCTACATTTACTGTTGTTTAATTTCTAGGACAAATTTATGCTGTGTTTTCGATTCTCTCATTTTCTGAACTGGAGAACTTAAAAAAATTGTGGTTATCTTATTCCTATCCTACTATGGTATTCTGGATTTGTCGAAGGGGTGGCAACTTGGACCTAAGAGCTACTTCCGGTCCTCAGGGAGATGCTGATTTTGATAAGGCCATGGTAGCTGCACAGGCCTTTAATTGTCTCTTCTAGGAAAGAACCACAGGAAGAACGATGAACTGAGATGTTTGTAGCCACAGGCATAAAGCTATGGAAGATGTGGTAGCTGCCCCAATATCTGCTCCTTTCATTTTGCTCAGTAACTAAACCCCAAATACTAGGTGGGTATTTGTCCAACCAGTTAAAAAAATATTTTCAAGCCTCTCTTGCAAGAAAGCATGGGCATATTACAAAGGTTTGACCAAGGGATCTAAGAAGTGATTCATATGAATCTTTTGTGATTATTTCTTCCTCCTCTTCCTCTTCTTCTTTGTCTTTTTTTTTTGAGACAGGGTCTCATTATGCAGTTCAGGTGGTCTTGAACTCACCATGTAGCCCAGGCTGTGCTCAAACCCACAGTGATCCTCCTGCCTGAGTCTTACAACTGTTGCAATGGTATGTTTTCTTAAAGAGAAATTTGCGCTTCTCTTCCCTGGATATTTTTCATCGGTCAAGGTGGAAATCGCAGGTGACAGCTGTCATGGCAACCTGGAGAAAGGAGTCAGAGATCCCTGCTAGTTGCCGTGCTGCGTTTCAGGACTGTGTCTACCTGAGAGAGATGCACTTTTAGGTTTTTACCATCGCTACTTGGGGCTTTTCATCCGAGTATTATTTCTTTCAAGTAATTTCCATCTGTTTTACCTGATTTAGTTTTTTTTCTTTACTTAATTGTGCAAGAATTAAGTGCTAGTCCCATAAAATAGAAACACTGACTTTTGTTCGTATCTGTCCCTCCAGCGGGACAGAATAGTTCTAGGAAAAAGGTAATGACTCCATAAATATTTGTGGACTATAGACTAGGCAATTAGAAAGTGCTCTTGTAAAGACAGCGAGTTCTTGTGTTAAGAAAACACAAAATTTAGCATTCCAGAGAAAATGGAAGGGCACACAAGAGCGTGCCCTCTGGGAAGTGCAGGCTCCCCGCAGGGACTCGGCGCCTGTCTGGACGCCCCTCCGCGCACGTGCGTGAGCGCGGCCCGCAGACTAGCAAGGCTCGGGGCAGCGCGGAGCTCAGGCGCGCCGAGCCGCGCGGTCAGCCGGGACCTGCTCCCTGGGGAGGCGTCCTCCCCGCGCGGCCAGCAGAGACTGGACGCCCGCAGCTCCACCGCCCTCGGCTCCCCTCGGCCGCCCGCA